CGGCCGCTCGGCCTCCGGCCACCGGGGCGGGCGGGGCGCTTTAACCCCTTGCCCGGCTGAGCCACCACGTGCGGTAGGAAACCGGAGCCAAGTTCCCGCCGCACGCCTTGAACGGCACGTTTTCAGAGTTGCTCTCGCGGGATGTGCCAGCCCGGGAGGGCAGGGGCCTGCCCTCGAACGTGGGCTCGGAGCTAGGCTTGATCCACGCCTGTTCAGGCGCTGCCCACTAGGTACGTGGTTTGCAGATTCCCAGGTTCAGGCAGCCACGCAGTCTGTCACCTTTAACCTGTGCTTCCTGTGGTGTGTTCTGTCCCCCCCAGCCCAGCCGAAGACTTGCTGTTTTCTCCAAGGAACTTAATGAGACATAATAGTTCATGTAAAGTACATGGCCCCTCTTCCTGCTCACTCTCCACACTTGATGTTTGAAGAGAAGCCAGAGGGACACTGACCACATCCCCAGGATTCTGAGGGGCCGCGTGGATGGCACGTATCTAGCCCTGGTTTGGTACTGGGGAGACATGGTCGCTGGAGGGATTAGGCAAAATATGTGGTTGAAAATGCCATTTAATTGTAGCATATCACATGGATATATCTACGTTAGTATATATGCATATTTATTCACATACACCAACACAATTATATTCTCAAGCCTTATGATAGTTTCCGACTTGAAAGGCTCATTAGAAATTACCAGTACAACACTCTCTCCATTTTACAGGTGAGAAAACTGATGCCCAGAGAGGAAGTGATCCTATGTATAGTGACACCTATAGTTAAGGGAATGAAATGTGATCTCCTCCGTCCTGCTCATTTCCCACCTGATTAGGCGCTCAGTAAAATTAGCGAAGCAGGAAGCATGGCACTGGGTTAACTCTACCTGGCCTTCCACTGCTCTCTGAGAAATGGGCCCTGCTGTCTTCCTTTGCCCCTCGGTGTCTTCATCTATGAAGTGGAGATTCTTGGGCCAGAGTAAGCAAACCTGATGTCCTGCGGGTACCTTTAGTGTACAGGTCTCAAGTCCAGCATACACGAAAGTATATCTCCAAGACCTGTTCACCTTATTCCACGATAAGACATAGTAAAAAGAAAAGGGGGGGGCAAAAGCTAAATGCTATAGTAATCTTGCCCAGATTCCCTACCAGAGCTGTCTTCCGCTTGGGGGGACCTGGAAAGGAACTAGACACAGAATCATGCCGTGGGCAGCTTAAGGGCTGTATGTGATGTGGCTCTTTGAATTGGTGAGCCAAGAGCTAAAGGGTCATGGCACCACTTTGCGACGTTTGAGTGAAGTGAGCATTGGGTTTTCCCAAAGTTAAAAAGGCTGCTGTGACTGGTCCCCTTGATCTTCTGAGCCTTGCTGTGGCTCAGAGTCTGAAGCAGTGTGGGTGTCTGGAGTGGCAGGAGCAAAGCAAGGTCACCAGTCACAGAAGGTGCCTCTCTCTCTTCATCAGGGACCCTGAGTGATTCCTGGAGTCCATCGTGTGAGGGAAGATTTCAGTGCCAGGCACATAGTAGGTTCTCAGATGGTAGTATCGGTCCACTCCTCCAATGAATTAAAAATCAAATCCCTCTGGATTCAGAGGGGGAGAAGCAGAGCCGAGAGATGCTTCTCTTTCACTGTGAATCTGTTATCTACCCCCACAGACCCCTGACCCTGGAACATTAATGTAGTCAGATGCAACTTCGCAGGTCGCCCTGCGATATGTGACATTTGCTCCAACCCCCAGCCCCCCATTTTCTGAATGACATTCATTAGTGTCACTAACTTTCACAGCCTTACACCCCTCACCAGGGCTGCCACATGCACCGAGATGGTTCTACTTCACCTCCCCCACCTTTCTGTGTTGGCTTAGATGAACTTCTGTCAACACCCACAGTTCACTTCCTCTCTTTCCCCAATGAGTCATTTGAAATCAACTAAAATAACACACGAGAGATAATGATACCGTGATACCTATGAAATTAGAAATATCTTCATACTCCACTCTATGATTTCTGTTAGAGTAGTTTAGAGTGCGTAACTCTCATAGACTTAGTGCCATTTCATCTATCAGCTGTTTATCTATGACCGAGGACAAATCAGTCCAGCGGCCCTCGAGGAACATATATATGTCTCCATGGTGCCTCAAGGGAGTAGGAGCAGCATTCTCTAATGTTGAAGCATTCAGGGCAAAATCCACTACTTCCTCCTTCCCCCACCCCCAAAGAAAACTGCTCCTTATCCATCTTGTGCCAGAAGTTTAACATAGATGACATTGCTTAAGGTAAATGAGCCACCGGAGATTTTCCCTGTCATATTAATTATATCAGGGTTTAACTTATTTTGAAGGAGAATATATAATTTTTCAGGAATACGTATGTTCTGTAAGTTGAAAATTAATAAGAAGTTTCTTAGGTCACAGTGGGATGGGATTTTTACTGTCAGGACAATTCAGACAAAGGTTTGTTTCTGGGAGTTTTAAATTTGTATCACATTTTCTCAGTTTTGGTGGATGACACTTGGAAAGATGTGTATTTTGCCTCAACTGCTAGAAAGCAGCTTCTAAAAATATAAATGTCTTGCAATTGGGAGCTGTCCTTATCAGACCTCTTAGATGCATTTTATGTACACACACACACATACACACACACACTTTTTTTTTGACCATGTACCAACATTTTGTGGTAGATTTTTTTACATTATATTTCAAACTTGATATCTTACATATGTTAACACTTGACATTATTTGTCTCAGAAAGGGAAAAATCTGCAGTAACTCTGTCTTCCATCCGAATATTCATTCTGTGTGCAGTTCCTCAGGTGGGCATATGTCCCCCTCATGATCTTTTTTATTCTCTTGGTTTATGGGTCATTTATAAGAATACTCTCTTTTTTGTTAGTTTCTTCAGAGGATTGAAGGGAAAGTAGGAAGGCCCACTTAACCTCCTTGGAATAGAGCTGTCGGCACCCAGTTTCAAGGAATTTATATTATGTCTGGCTCACCCAGAGTGGTGGTTTTAAAAATTAAAATGTTTGCATGAGCAGAACAGTCTGATCAAGATGTGCTAGTTCAGCAGCTACAAAGACGTAACATCCCCCAGATTTATTCTGTAGCAGTGATCATCTCCTCTTTGCCACTGATTTACCAAACTGTCAAAGTAATCTTTAGTGGATCTTAGTAAGTATTAAGAGCCATGAACTCTTGATGCTGTTTTCCTAAGATTCTCTGAAATAGCCCTGATCTTGGCCACCTGACGCTGCCATCAGAAGGGGTGTTGTCCCCAGAGCATCTGTGATATTGCTTATTCCCAGAACATTCTCTGAGAATTGGAGAGTCTCTAAGGGGAGAAATGGCTTCACGTGTCCTCTGATTAATTTGCTTTCTGAATGAAAAATTGGACACCTGCTCAAAAAATGATCTACTCCTATATATATATATATATATTTAATGGTAGTAAGATCAAATTTGTATCATGTTTTTGTGATACAAACAACAGATTTCCTCTAAAAAGTTACATTAAAGTATCCAAACTTCAGCCACCTGTATGTTACAGTAAATATTGTCATCACTTTCAATATTTCAATATTTCAAGCTTTTCAGGTGCCAGATTGACTTGTTTTGAATTCTGGCTTCATCCCTTCCTGATGGTTTGTCTTTAGGCAAATTATTTAACCTCTTTGAACCCCTGGGTTTCTTTACCTGTAAAATGTGCACATTCACACGCACCTACTGAGCTAGTCCTGAGATAAAGTCAAGTGCTCCCGAACCGCCCTAACACATAGTAAGCTGTCAGAATTGGCCTGGTGTCACGCTTGTACTTGTTTGATGAGCTCTGCTGGCTAAATGTTAACCAGTGTGATAAAATATTGTAATTGGAATTTCAGGGGCATTTTTATGGTGGCGGGGTTGGGGCGGGAGATACTGTGAAGGAAATACTGGGAATTGTTGATCAGTGGAGTCATCATTCAGATGGCATGTTGACCCAGAGCTAAAAGTGGCAGGTCTCAATTTCAGGTCCCCCAGAATAATCAGGGGTGTCTGCGGTCAGTTTTCAGTATTTTTAAAAACCTAATGGAAATGATATAATAAACCTCCACAGATAAAGCTTTTTAAGAAAAGATTTTTTCTAGCTCCAAAGTACTTAGACACTCTAATACTCTTTTACCATGAGATTAAACAAATATTTGAAAAGAGAAATGGCAGAAAACAGAATTTTCCCCATAGCGAGGGTACCATAGCTCCTCTCTGCTCTCTCCTTTAAGACTTCAGATGTGCCAGGCACCATGACACGTGTGTTTTTCATATGCGGGGAACATAATTTCTGTTATAGCTTATAGGGGCTCAGTGACCAAGCCGCCCGTTTGGAAACGGTTTGAGATGAAAGAGGCAGAACAGCAGCAGGATATC